ATAGATAACTGCCGGGCCCTAGGTAAAATTGGTAAAAATGCACCTGATCGGACATAGTGACAGAGCCTCTAGGGGTCTATTCAGACGAAACTTTGAATGCTTATACATTCTGAGGTTTTTTAAAACAGATACGGTACGGCATTAATGCTCAGAAATATCTAAAAAATATTTTGTTTAAAAAATTAAAGAATATTGAGAACAAACTATAGTCAAGTCATGTTATCGTTTAGGGCCTATTAAGCATTTCATGAATCTATGGTATATTATATTAATTGACAACATCAATAGAACATATAGGTGGAATTGTGTCCAAACCGTCGTGAAAATGTACTGAATACTCAGTACATGTGAAAACACTTGCAAAAATAGTATTCGCTGCTTACTTTGGCTCGAATTCAACCCTGGCCATCAGGTGCAAGCTCGGTGGTCTAAAAGCATGATGCCAGGCTAGTAATCTGGAGAACGTGGGTTCGAGTCCCACTGGAGAACAACTTGCAAATACATTTTGCAAGTGTTTTCACACGCACTCGGAGTATTCAGTACATTTTCACGACAGGTTGGGCAAAATTACACATAGGCCGCCCCTAATTGATTCTCCTGCGCAAATCTAGGTATTGTATATTCCATCACGATAATAACAGTTACCATTCAATAATAGAACAGTCATCGACCTACTTGCAGTGAAGTGGATCTAAATGTATTCATGAAGTTATGATGATCTGAAGTGTTTAAAAATATACACAGTAATAGTTGAACTAACTTTAAAATACCACAAATACAAATGTGCGTGACAATATTTTATTGCTTTAGAAATGTGATTTCAAAAAGTGTATTAGTGAATCATGCACTGAGTATTCAATACATATTCATGACAGGTTGGGCAAAATACATATAGGCCCCTAATTGATTCTCCTGACGCAAATCCAGGTATTGTCTATTCCATCACAATGATAACAATTACCATTCAATAATAGAACAGTCATCGACCTACTTGCAGTGAACTGAATCTAAAATGTATTCATGAAGTTATGATGATCTGAAGTGTTTGAAAACGTACACAATAATTTAACCAACTTTAAAATACCACAAACACAAATGTGCGTGACGATATTGTATACCTATTGAATGAGCCCCCAATAGCCCCGGGCCCAGTGCTGTGCACTGACTGCACTGCCCATAACTACGCCACTGGACCTGAGTATTATTAGTGGTTACATAACGTTTGATATGTACTGTATCATGTGCTATAGAAGTGGAAGACCATAATGTATTGGGAATGTACCTCTCTCTCTGGTAGGGCCTACAGTACAATCAGTTTAAAAGTGTAAGGTATAGGATTATGTTGATTTTTAAACATTTTTCTAATGGTAATGTTCAAAATAAGTGTCAAGGAAAGTAAGTATGATTGTTGGAAAAAATGGTCAACATTTTATTTTGAATTTTTACCCTGACCTACGCCTGGGCGAAGTGGCCGAAGGTCTGCACTATTATTTTGAAGCAGTTATTTTAACTGGAAAGGAGTTATTCTGTACCTTTTTTTAGGTACAGAATAACTCCTTTGGAGTTAAAATAACTCCTTCAAAATAACAGTGTGGATCCGCGTCTAGTTAGCATGAATTTTGTAAGCCAGGACCCATAGTATTTTGTTACGTTTCTTCACAGAGGGGGAAAACGAACCCCCCCCACCTAAACCCCCTGGATCCGCCACTGTGATTAGAATCCAATATAGAATTTAAACTAACAAAAACAACACATCCAAAACAAGTCTGTTATATTAGGCCTGTATTGAAAAAAAAATGTAAAATCCAAATTCGGCCAAATATAGTTTGGCTGTGACTTTTCAAACGTTACGGCCAGGCAAATTTTTATACGGCCAGATTTGAGGAATCTGGCCGTCAAAAAGGCCAAATGGCAACCCTGCGCACAACTGGCTAACGTCTTCTCTATCTATTGTCGTGACGTCATGGCTCGCTGGCTCACACTTGTGATATGTCTCGCACTTGTGATCAAATAACACGCTGGCTCGCACTTTGGCAACACTCTTTGGCAGCCAACTCGCCCCTAGAAAACCCGCCCTTGGAAACTTGCCCCATAAAAAAATGTACACTTCCTAGACCATGCAGTCTTCAAAATAAAAATTGTAACCTTTGGTAATCAACTACATTTTCCACATACATAGAAATTTTTGAAACTTTATTAAAAAAAACCTAAACCATAATTCACCACACTATAGACACTTTTTGACAAAAATGAAAAATTACGACTTTGTTACCCAAGGAGAAGTGTTCTAATATAGACAATGGGTCGTGTCTCATATTATTTGTTATTATTTGTTATAGTTTTATTATTCATTATTTTCACTTGACTCGCATAAATAATTTTGTTCGAAGAACATTTATATGCAGTTGTACTTCGCAGCACTTCACTTGCATTTGCAATTTCTAGTATACGATTTAATTGTGACGTCACTGGCGAAAAAAGTAACAAAAGATCGTGTAAAGAAAACCGCGTAGGGTATCCGCCGTGTACAATCTTTGCTTGCATGCTGTAACCATAGCTGTAACTCTTCTGTTGACAACCGCTGATGCAGTTATAGGCCTATATGCAAGTTACAACAACCATGGTTACAGCATGCACATAAAGATCGCACAGAGCAAATGCCCTACGCGGCGCTATTTACACGATTTTTTTATTACTTTTTTGCCAGTGACATCACGGTAAAATCGTATATAGTGGCCTATAACTTCATAAACAATTGCCAAAAAACGATTTTAATGTTGATTCTATTATTAATGGCATAGCAAAAATCTCCTCTAGAACAAAAAATCATTTTGCTAGTTCTCTTTTAATGCCTTACAAGCCTCTAAGCGCTTCACATTCACATTGAACACCAAATTAAATTATTAAATTAAATTATATTATTATTCCATAATAAAATATCCAGATAAAAGATTCTTAATTTATTACAACCTTTTTGAATGGATTATATAATTTTACCACTGTACTTAATTAACTTGTTACAACATTTTTTGTACTGTATTATAGTATATTCTATTGAACTTGTTTTATTGTAATTTTGAATGTTTCTCTCTTATGGGAGGTGAATGAATGATGGGAGGGTTTTGGTAGGTTTCCAGATTTAAAAAAATCATCTTTTCTTTGGAAAATATAATGCATACTGTAGTAAAGTAGTATACAGGACTGGCAACTAGTCAGTCTAATCAGAAGTTTTCTTCTTTATCTGTAGATGACTGTCCTGGGGATCATTGCAAAGACAAACTTTGTAGTCGTCAAACTTTTAGCCAGCGGGCACATGAAAGAGTCGCCAAATCCTCCAGAGTTCGATTTTTCCAGCCACCCTACGTATCCAATCATAAGACTAAAATGAGTATTGTTTATAAGTGTTGTTTTGTTGCATTGAAGGATGTTGAGATTGAGTGGAGCTGTTGCTTGGGTGATTAATATGCTTTTCGTCTAATCTAAGCATTCTTGGTTGATCGTAAAAGAAGTCAATATTTTTTCATAACTAAAACAATATTGATATTAATAATGAAAATTTGTTGTGCACCAGTATCCATCTAGAAAGAGGTTCACAGTGCAGTCACATGACAGTCAACTTCAATGTTCTAAAAACATCTGTCTCTTATACACATCTAGATGTGTATAAGAGACAGGGTGCAAGCTCGGTGGTCTAGAGGTATGATGCCAGGCTAGTGATCTGGAGAATGTGGGTTCGAGTCCCACTGGAGAACAAC